TAACCCATTCTGAAAGTACGGGTTATGTACGGGTTAGGTACGGGTTAGTACGGGTTAGGTACGGGTTAGGTACGGGTTAAGTACGGGTTCAAAATCAATACCCGAGGTCTTCAATCGAAAACCGAGGTTTTCTTATTTTTTCCGAAATACCTCAGGTTCTTGCGTTGACCCGAAGAATTCTTAGGGTTTTGGTTCTCCAGGTATATATACATGTAATATAGATTCAACACTTGATTGCCAGGAAAAGCATGTCAGATTCCAGTGCTGATTGCGCAGACAAAGAGCAAAGACTTCGAAGACCGGCAATCGACAAGTATGCCGCATGCCCTGACAACAAACCTAGGAACCAGCCTGGTTCACACATCTCCAGAGACAATCTCAGCAAAACCCGTTTGCGCAAACTTGTGCAACCCCATCTTGAAAGATTGATCATGCACCGCTGACTCGAGACAGGATACTGCCAAGATGCAAAGTTGTCCAGGAGAGTGGGTTTTTTTGCCGTGGGCCCTTGAAATCATTGATGCACAAGTGCCTTGACAAAAATCTTTTCTCATTCAAGCAGCAATGCTCACCACTAGCCAGTGGTCGGCCAAGCCTGGTTGGTAGGGTATACCAGCAAGGCAGCAAGATAGCCTACAAAGACACACAGCAGGATTCACTGATTCATCTCCGTTCCCGGTGCCCGATGATTTGCAAGTCACACGCGCTATTATTCGCATGGCCATCTGAATGTATTCATGCCTCTGGGAGGCATGTTTGTTTACTTGCCACAAGCTTGGTCCAACGTACGAGACACAGTGATCTGCATATGAAAACTGGATCCAATGTGATATTGAAACTGATGCTCAACGATTGGAAGTCTTGCCGCCCTTGACCACCTTCGAACCAATGATAGGCCAAAGACCTTGCCGCTCTTCGCATGCTTCGCATGCTTCACAATAAGAGCTCAGTGAAGGGGGCCTACTGCAACATGGCAATGCCAACATTTTCCGGTTCAGTTGGCCTCAACTAGAGGAAGTCTTGGGCGTTCTTTTGTCATACGGGCCCATGCAGTGGGCTTGCGTGCTTCTCATCTCAGTGCGCGTTCGCAGCTTGCAGAAGACATCTTTGGCGCCAGTAGCGGCGCCAGTTAGGTGTCAACAACTATACTTACAGTAAGCCGTATCCCCAAACATGCATTGCAGGTGCCACCACAATTAACAGTGTGCCTCCATTTGTCAGATTGCTCCGGGACATACCTGGAAAATGGCCTCGACCGGCCTCGCAATGCGAAGTTGATGGCCTGGAAGATCTAAAAGTACCAGGGTGTAGTGAAGAAGCTGACAACCCTCTCAGAGCTTCATTCCTTATTATCCACATTTGTGCCTCACCCAAGATTGCAGTCGCTGCTGGTTTTACTCACCCGGTGGGGTGGCCTTGCTGCATCAAGTGAAACTTGCAACATCTGCGTTGTCGCGCAGTTTTCCTTCAAGATGGTGGGCAAGCACGACCAGGAAAGACTTTAAAAACCAAATTGTGGAAGAAACCAGGCCTCAAGAGAGCCAAAGGATGCGACTCTGCATCTGGCAGCCGACACAAAACGAAGAGATAGAAATCATTTTCAGCCAAGACACTTCGTTTTGAGTTCCCAGCAGGGGAGTGGGTGCAACCACCAAATCGCGGAATGCGCGGATTGACAGTTCGTTGCGCCATTGGCGCTCATCGTTGGTGCCAACACAGACTTGTTTTCCACTGAATGAACAGTGAAAGCTGACAGAAGTTGGGAGAAGACATTGGTGCAAAGAATCTATTGGTTGCAACGGACTCGGAGCAGAACATCCGATTGTGCAGCTGCTGATGTTGACATGCCATTATTAATGTATAGCCTGTGCAAGCCCTGCCATGCCCCGTGCAATAAGTATTGCCCCAGTTGGTCAGCTTTCTCGAACTAGTTCAGCCCTGGAAGCAGATCACGCAACTGTGTCAGGTGGCTCTCCAACCTCTCCAACACAACTTGTATTTTATATATGCAACTGTGCAGCCTACATCAATTCATCATCTCAGGTTCGATTCTGTCGCTTGACGTCTCACTGGCCAATTCTCTCATATGCTGCCAGGACTAAGCGCAAGTTCAGTTGCCCCAAAGCAGCCAGTTTTTGAAACAAACTACGAATCATGCACATTGAAATCCAGTTTTGTACGTTCAGCGCCTGTCAGTTATACTGTTCCCTCGCGTTTGGAGCATGATGCAGCATTTGTGCTCTGCAGTTTCGAAGGTTTCTGTTTGCTGCAGGGCTTTGCAGAAAGGTGTTTGTGCTCACGCCCATGTCAATCCAGACATGCAGTTGCTTTGCCTATCTTTCAAGTATGAGCACGATGGCAGTCTGAGCTGAGAAAGAATATGTTTGCGGCATGGAAGACAGGTGAAAGTACAATGATGGTCGGAAAGAAATCATCACCTATGAGAAATGCGTAGCAACCAATTCCTTTCATCACAGCATGATGCTGGTTTGACCCGACATTCAACTGCTGTTGTGTTACGGACATTGCCATTTTGACTTTTTGACTGTCCATTCCGTGAGACATTCAACGCCACTAACGCAGTCCCCTGATCCTCGTTCTTCTTAGCATAACACTGCCCCTCACAAAACCCTGACCGAGTGCATTGGCCATGATGTTGGACAGGAAGCTTTTTCAACACTGTTGGTTATAGCTCATGGCGAGGTGCAGCCATAGGCGTTGCAAGACCACACAGTGGTTAATGCATGGCACCGGGCTTGTTTAGAGTTTTTGCTTCAAAGCCGCCAATCATTTTGAGACTTTATATGTATAAGTAAGTCTTTTAAGTTTCAAGCATTCAGCAATGCCTGGAGCTGCCCAGAATCTGGCTGCATGAAATCTGACGTCCTTTCGCTTGGCCGTGCTGTTGCCGTTCTCAGGAGGATTGGTGGCACACGTCGGCTCAGTTTTCAGTGGACAGGAGGGCGAAATGAATCACAGCATGATTTTGATTTCGTTTTCAAGTGCTTAGGGCATGCACACGTTGAACCTGCTGTAGAAGAGGTGAGCTCTCAGTTCAATGGTCAATCCTATCTCCTATGAGACAAAACCATGCATGAAAAGTCCAGCAGCGATTTAGGTTTCTTGATAGTAATTTCTTGCATGCGGTGAGCATGCAGGAGAAAGGACAGTCCATGACCAGTTTATCGCCTTGAGTTCAAAGAGTTTCCTGTTTCTGTTGTGTTGTGGGAAAAGAAGGGGAGGGTTCTTGGAGAAGGAGCCTGAGGAGCAAAGGTGGCTGCCAAGCACCAGTGAAGATGGGTGCTGCAGACGTTTCCATTTGAGCTGAGTTGCCTAAGGCCTATGTGAAGCTGACAACCAGCAGCAGTAGCGCCCCGCACCAGTCCAACATGGAGATCTACCTCCAGAACTTCAAGATGACTTGGGCTTTCCAGATGCTCCCGTGATGTTTGGGGGGAGCCTGCAGCAGTTGAAGATAGGGGGGAGGATGTGGAGAGCCTTGCATACTCTCCGGATGAGCTGCCGCGCTCGGAACTACCTGGGCCTGTCGCATCGTGGTCTTGCCCAGCAGCTGCAAAGAAAAGTGACACGACATGGTGCCAAATCCAGTCGTTGGCTGTCGGACCGAAAGCTTTTTCAACACTGTTGGTTATAGCTCATGGCGAGGTGCAGCCATAGGCGTGGCAAGACCACACAGTGGTTAATGCATGGCACCGGGCTTGTTTAGAGTTTTTGCTTCAAAGCCGCCAATCATTTTGAGACTTTATATGTATAAGTCTTTTAAGTTTTAAGCATTCAGCAATGCCTGGAGCTGCCCAGAATCTGGCTGCATGAAATCTGACGTCCTTTCGCTTGGCCGTGCTGTTGCCGTTCTCAGGAGGATTGGTGGCACACGTCGGCTCAGTTTTCAGTGGACAGGAGGGCGAAATGAATCACAGCATGATTTTGAATTCCTGAAGCACTCAGGGCAACTTGCATTGCCAATCCGATATCTATCATATCCATTGATTTTGCTTTCGAAACAGAACTGCAGATGTTGCATGAGGAGTCATTAACCGCGGCAATTTCCACTTCGGTAGGAGCAAGAGAGCAGGAGGATGTTGAGCTTAGACAGGTTTCAGTCAGGCTTGTGAATTCCTTTCAGACTCGCTAGACTCGCCTTTCGCAGTCCCGAAGGATTTGTATTTTGGATGGAGTTGGTTTGCGTAAAAAATAGATGGCTGAATGGCAGAGCTCCAACAAGTACCAGCAACCCACATACATCATGGATCCTTTAGCACCATGCGACCAGGATACTTGCTGCCAACCCCTTGATAAGGATCAACAGATATTCATGGTATCCAGACCATTGTTTCCAGCCCCAACCAATCAGTGATTCTGTGTCAAGTCCTCTCATCGATTTGCTCCTGAGATTGAAAGGATTCGGGTCATCGCCGTTGCGTTTTTTTCATCCGGGGACTGCTTTCAACGCTCGGATACAGGTTTGTGAACACGTGAATTTCTCAAGACCAAACAGTGCTTGAATTTTCCAGGATCCCTACCCTCTTAAAAATGAAATTTGAGGGGGGGGGAGTCGTACTGAAATTTCATTTTAAATTTCCATTTTTGCATTTATTTTTCTCAATGATCAACATTCCTTGTCATTCCATATCATTGGCAAACAGATGAAAATCAAATACTTGCGCTTAGCTCCGGAGGGGCTAAGCACATGTCAGACTGAAGCAGCACATGTGTAGGGTGGCATCCCTCCAAAAATTGCGCTGCCATCTTCACACTTGCGCTTAGCTCCGGAGGAGCTAAGCGCAAGTATTTTCTAACCAGTGCCCAAGGCTTGTCAAGAAATGTTACTTTAAATTTCCATTTGAGCGATTGGATCACTATCCCAGGGTTTCCAAGCAAAAAAAGTGGAATTCGACAGGTTGGTTTTGTCCCCTCCCGCCCTCCCCCTCTATAGGGGTAGGGATTTTCCAGGTTTGAACATCCCCACGCCACTTTTGCTTGCGCAGAGCCTTTGTGTACGAGAGAAAGCGAACAGTCGGCTCATCGATTATATAGTCTCGCCTGAGTGAAGGCCTGAGTTCGCAAAATCGAGCATGAAAAGATTGGTGCCAAGAAGCTGTCTACCATCCAGCTTTAGCTTGAGTAACCTATTTGCACAGAAGGATGTTTCCCACAGGCATAAGCTCGACTGTCAGCCAGCTGTGCAAATCGAGATTTCTAGAAGATAAGCTTTTGAAATTGGCGAGAACTTGCCCAAAGCAAAAGGTGCAGACTCAGTTGAGGACATGCAGACAGCTGTTACAGCGTATATATATATATATAGTTGACTCACTGATTCTGCAGTTTAGTGCGGACCGAAGGCTGAATTTACAAAATCTAGCATGAAAAGATTGATGCACAGAACTGTCTACTATGCAGCCATAGCTTAAGCAACCTACGTGCACAGAAGGATGTTTTCCACAGGCAGAAGCTTTACCGTCAGCCAGCTGTACAAATCAAGATTTCTAGAAGATAAGCTTTTGAAATTGGCGAGAACTTGCCCAAAGCAAAAGGTGCAGACTCAGTTGAGGACATGCAGACAGCTGTTGCAGTGGATGGTTGACTCAATTTATTCTGCAGTTTTGTGCGACCGAAGGCTGAATTTACAAAATCTAGCATGAAAAGATTGGTGCACAGAACTGTCTACTCTGCAGCCGTAGCTTGAGGGACCTACGTGCACAGAAGAACGTTTTCCACAGGCAGAAGCTTTACCATCAGCCAGCTGTACAAATCGAGATTCCCAGAAGAGAAAACTTTTGAATTTTGCAAAAAAGGATCAAAACCAAAGAGTGCAGACTCAGTTCAGGCCAAATAGCTTGCGGGAAATGCCAGGAGAGCCATTCAGCAACTGTTTGCTGCAGTATTTTGTACAGAATTTGGACAACGATGTGCATGTTTGCATGTCTTAATGCTTAATCATAGCTTGAACGTTTTCAGGGCGGTGCCTGTAGAGAGGAACATCTGATGCCAAAAGCACGTTGCCGGGGTTTGGCGCAGGTCTGACAGGTTCCAAGACGTGATGGTCTAAGGCCTCACACGGTGACACCCGTGACAGCTTAAACACCAACCATGGGTGTGGCAGGTTGGGCGTCGGCTGTGGTCCCCACCATCACCCACCAAAGGCTCAAACCTTTCACCCTGTGTGTACAATGAGGGCCGCCAAGCCTTCCACTTTAGAGACCTGTGATTGCTCTGTTCTTACCATCCCTCAGACCTGAAGGGGCCACAATTGAGACGCTGCGGCAGCATTGAGAGATAGTGACAGATGGAAGGAGCAGAGCCAGCTCACCAGAGGTCCCTGTTTTCCGAGTCTGACACGTTCTTTGCTGTTTGAGGCCCATCCTGAAGAACCGATGCACGGCATACAGTTTTGGCATGTCATCTCAACCAGCTCCCTGGCTTGCACCGTTGTGGTTGCAAGATCTCTGACCAGTTAGTTGGATCGCCTTCCACTCGAATCGTGATATGATCTCCAGCTATTCTCATGGTATGAGACAGATGAACAAGTTTAGGTCAACCTGGATGGAGCCTAAAGTGATCCGCAGTATCTCGGATGCTGCTTTAAGCATGGCAAGCTCTGCGTTGTCCAGCGTCGGCGGGAGTTGCCACACCAAAGGGAAGCATGCTCAAGTTGACCCATATTTTGATATCCCGATACGATTGCTGCCTCGTTACATCACGGTAGGGAAGGGGATCCGCGCAGTTTCCGGCGGAAACTCCGCTCTCCAGAGAGGGAAGCCAGCTAAGCCCAAGTCTTCTTTCTACCACTTGGAGAGGAAGGATTGAAGCTCGGCGAGTGGGATATCTTTCCTCGGCTCTCCCATTTCGCCAAAGGCGAGACAAGGAAGTGTAAGAAGAAGACAAGATCTTTGCCATGCAGTCAGAAGTCCGTGTGTGCAAGCCATCCATTGCAAAGCGGGCCCTTCTGCTTCTGCGATTGAAGAGTTCAACACGTAGCACGAGTAGCAATGCCGACAGTATGATGAGGACTGCGGCGGAGTGGGTGTGCGCTGTGTCTCTTCTCCTTGTCCTGCTTGAAGATTACTGTAACAAACATATCTTTCAGAAAACAGAAATTGTCACAACTGATTAGGTGATCTTCGGATGGGCGCCCAGACTGTTCAGAATTCGCAGTTGCTGATGCTTCACGTCTCGCTGAGTCGTCAATCTGCCATGGTTTTGACTAGTTTTGACCATGATGGTTGCTGTTTCCCCATGGGGTATGATCCTCCATCCATCAATAATCGTTTTTTAGTTTTTCATATGTTCACGAAAGCCAGCCGCTAGGCTAGGCGAAGTTCCTTTTGCGAACAAGGGGGTCCGGGCGCCAGAGGGTGACAAAATCACGGAAATGGGTGCGGCAATTGGGTGACGGTGGGGTATCGATTCCCCCCTGGTCCGTCCTCCGAGGTGCATTTGGGAAGACTGGAATGGAAGAGTAAAATTGTGGAGAAAACGAGTAAAACCATGGAAAAACCATGGAAAACCATGGAAAAACCGATCAAAACCATCTGAAAATTGGGTAAACCATGGAAAAATGGAGTAAAACTATGGGAAAATGGAGTAAAAACCATGGAAAAATCAAGCAAAATCCTAGAAAAATTGAGCAAAACTATGGAAAATCGAGTAAAACAACAGAAAATTGAATAACACCATGGAAGAATCGAGTAAAACCATGGAAAAATCTAGTAAAACCATGGAAAGATGGAGTGAAACGTTGGGAAAATCGCGGAAAATGGTCTGTCGAGGTGCATTTGGGGAGGCGTTAGAACACTGGATCGAAGGGAGTACCCAAGCAGCTTCTGTCAGTAGTTGGGGCTTGTTCTTGTCGACTTGTATTTGTTGGGCTCAAATGTGGGACCATTATGAGGAAAAGGCATTGCTTGATGGTCCGTCCTCGGAGGTGCATTTGGGGAGGCGATAGAGAGACTGGAATCGAAGGGAGCCAGAGGAAAAGGCATTGCTTGATGGTCACAAGGATTAGAAGCAACTTCTGCCAGTAGTTGGGCTCCAATGTGGGACCATTATGGTCGCAAGGATTAGAAGCAATTTCTGTCAGTTACGATGCTTTGGGAAAGATTGGAATATAGAAGGGAGTCAGAGGGAAAGGCATTGCTTGGAAAGGTTGCGGAAGGATGTGGATGAGATTGTTCTCGTCGACTTGTATTTGTTGGGCTCCAATGTGGGACCATTATTGTCGCAAAGATCAGAAGGAACTTCTGTCAGTACAGGATGCTTTGGGAGAGACTGAATAGAAGGGAGTCAGAGGAAAAGGCATTGCTTAAGGAACTTCTGAGGAACTTCTGTCAGTATAGGATGTTGACGAGACTGTAGCCATCTACTTGTATTTATTGGGCCCGGATGCCGCACCTGCCACGCAAAAGCCACCGGCAGAGCGACGACCGGCGGAGACCAAGGGATGCCAGGGCGTACATCCGACCCCTTGCAGAGCACCAAGTGCCGCACCTGCCATGCAAGAGCGACGAGCGGGACCAAGGGACGCCAGGGCGTACATCCGACCCCTTGCAGAGGACCAAGTGCCGCACCTGCCACCCAAAAACCACCGGAGTCCAAGGGACGCCAGGGCGTACATCCGACCCCTTGGCAGTGCACCAAGTCCCACACTTGCCACGCAAAAGCCAGCGGCAGAGCGGCGGAGACCAAGGGACGCCAGGGCGTGCATCCGACCCCTTGGCAGTGCACCAAGTCCCACGCCTGCCACGCCAGAGCGGCGCTAGGGCGTACACAAGGGACGCCAGGGCGTACATCCGACCCCTTGGCAGTGCACCAAGTCCCACACTTGCCACGCAAAAGCCAGCGGCAGAGCGGCGGAGACCAAGGGACGCCAGGGTGTACATCCGACCCCTTGCAGAGGACCAAGATATTGTGGTTGTGCACCATAAGGCAGTTGTGGCGGAATCGCTTACAACACGCACAGCAAAAAGCGCGCTTCGAACTTTTTTGTTTGAATATATTTTCTCCCCTTGCATATGTGCATGTGAGCTATACAAAAGTGGCGCTGTTGAACCACTGTTCCCTCCAATGCCGTGTTCTTCTTCCTGTTGTCCAAGGCTGCAGAAAAGATGCTGGATCTTCTCGGCGCGCCTTGTCTGCATGTGGCGGGAACCGCTGGGGAGCAAGGGGTAGAGTCGCTATGGACAGCCGTGCCCTGAGGCGGCGCCTGGCGAAGGATTGTGAGCACTGTGGAACAAAGGGCGCTGAGCGAAACCATGGACTGCGGCTTGGGGTTGTGCAAATCCACTGGTGGGGACATCAAAGGACAACATGAGACTCATAAGACAACCAAATTTTGGGATTCTGTGCTGGAGGACTATACATCTGCCCGGAACCGGTTTGGGATTTTGACTTGGAGGAAAACGTTCCAATTTCATAAGCAGCTCTTGCGTGTCTTGTCGATGTTGTTGCACGCTTTCCCAAGTTGTGGTCTCCCGCCGATGTTTTGAAACCACAGAACTTCAATGAGAGGGACGTTTCGATCACCTCTGTTTGCCAAGTTCTGCTTAATTTTGCTTGTGGTTTTGTAATGTTTTGTACAGAGTTGTGCGTATAGCCCCGAACCCGGTGATGATGATAGCCATGGCGACAGAGCCAGATTTGTTTTCGGCACGCAGCTGATCATTTCAAGAGCATACGTCTACCAACCACTGCAGCCGCAGCAAATATACTGTAAGGATTGGATGGTGCCTTGTATCATTACTTAAGGGTTCCGCCAATTGCTTTCCGCCAACGGGCTACACTACATTGCACCAGGTTTAACCACCAAAAATCTGATGGTCTTAAGAATGAACTAAGGTTTGGGGAATTTGGATTCGCAAAGTCATTGGCCATGGATCCCGAACTGATTGTTTTGCAGCTCGAAGTGTGGGCTTTGGAAATCGCGGTGACAAAGGTGGGCCGATGTTTTCGCTGGAAACAATGGATCGTTGTGTGTCTTCCTTTGAGTGGGTTTACCTGACAATTTAATACAATTTATGGTAACACCTCCACATGTTCATGGTTGGTCATAATTTTTCTCAAGTAAAGAACCATACACTTTCATATACCGAGGTCTCCCAGTATCCCCTATTGTTGTGGCAGGTCGAGAGTTGGAAAGCCCAATACAAGGAGCTGAAGACAGAGGCGGGCAAATTCATTGAGCCAGAGGTAGTTTTGGGCATGTCTTGGCCATGCTGTCGCGACTGTCGCGACGCTGACAGGCCTCCAAAAAAGCTTCAGTGTGGTACGATTACTTGACGTGCGGCTACTGCAGCTGAAGGCCGGCCTTGGAAAATCTTGGAAAGGCCTTGTCGAGCGATTGCAACGGTGCACGGACAAACTTAGAGTCACGCAACCTTTTCCAAACAAGAATTATGTTTTGGGAGCAGGTATATAAACGTGGAGGAAAATAAGATGGTCCTAACCAGAACGAATTCTACATCAAGGAACCAGTTTTATCACATTGATAACATACACCGTGTGAACCAGGTCACTGGCCGCAGAAATGCTGGCCCGGCGAAGAACGCTGGAACTGGCTTTTGTGGGGATGCCAAGGGCCACCCACAGTTCAGATGGCAAACACTGATCAAACTGCTGTGGTTAACTATGGAAAATAAAATATAAATGAAAATGAGCTGTCTTAGAACCCTTTTTGAAACTTAGAATGGGTGGAAATCTCTGGTTCCATGAAAATGAAGACCTTCCAGGAAGACATATTTTTTTCTACGTTTCAGATAGTGCATACGAAATTGCATATTTAGAGTATGATTCTATTGAGAACTTACAACCGTACTGCCACGATGTGACTGCAGTGATCGGCAATTAGTTGGGTCGGTGGCCAGCAGGCAGTAGATAGGAAGCCGTGGAAGTGATTCCTTGGGGCATTTCCCATCACTTCACCAGTATGATCCGCAGGAAATTCAGCGTTGTTTTCCTCATGAAAACAACAGTGAAACAACGGCACCAAAGGTCTTTCGACATTTGTTCCGCACGATTTGATTCTCATTGATTTGGGGTTTCCATGCGTATCCCGGTATCCCCATTTGGCCCATTTTGAGACACCATATCCCAAGACCTGTTTGGAACATATTGGAAACCCAAAATCTAATTGTTGTTTGGGGCTGTACCCCACGTGATCAGACTGGAACTGACCAATCCCCATTATCCCCATTGTTCCTGGTCAACCATGGTCAAATAAGGATATAAAATGATATAACAACATGTGAAGTGCACTCCATGCACTAGGGGCTTTGTAGGGATTTCACTTCATTTGCAGTGGCTTCCGCTGCATTACCTCTTAAGGGAGGGAAACATTTGCGCTTCATGGCGCTACGGTGACGCGACCTCTTCGTGAAAGGTTGCGGGCAGCTTTGCAGCTGCGTTAGGCGGATCGGACCTTGTGTGCCGACACCCCCCTGGACTTCGCATTGGTAGCGGGGCCTTTGCGCTCCTGGCTTCGTCTGCTGCGCTGCCTTGGCCTTCTACGAGCTTGGCCCTGTGCAGGCTCTCTCCGTGCTAGGCCCTGGGCAGGCCTCTCTGCAGTTCTAGGCCCTGAGCAGGCCTCACTGGCGTTGCTAGGTCTTGAGCAGGCCTCACTGCTGCGTTGGGTCCTGAGCAGGCCCCTCTGCTGGTTCTTCGCCCTGAGCAGGCGATTGGCGATTGGTGACAGAGCAATACAGCCTGGACTATGTCATCATCTGCAAGCACCATGGGTGACAACGCTGTGACCAAGGACAACTATGTGCCTTTGTTCAGCGGTGCCCCGAGTGACTACCGCGAGTGGCGGAAGAGGATCTCCCTGTACATGACCAAGATGAAGCTGCTCAAACGAGAAGCTGAAGGAGTCTTGAACCTGATCTCAAGCCTCACCGGCACAGCCTGGAAGCTGGTGGAAACCTTTCCCCTGGAGGATGTGGAGAAGGCCGACTCCTTCAACAAGGTTCTCAAGCTGCTGGACAAGGCCTTCGAGTACGACAACCGAGTCCAACTCCCTGGAGACTTTGACAAGTACTTCAGTGGCTTCCAGCGGCATAGCGGCCAGACCTTGCTGGACTACTGCACCCAGCATGACGAGCTCTACAACAGGCTGGCCGACCACAAGGTGACGC